CTTGCAATGGGTTCGTAATTAAATTCAGTCATGATATGTTTTTGTTTTCTTTATCGTTTAATTGTATTATATTTAAAATATAATATCCAAAAGAATAAATTGAATTTAATAAATAAAAGAAATAAAAGAATAAATTGGAATAAATTATTATGATTAAATATTTTATCATTATATTATATAATATTATATTTAAATATTATAATTATTTTGCATTGCAGACCATATGGAAATAGATGGAGCAAAACTATGATAGGATATGGAACAGAAGATACTCATTTTGTAATAGAATTAACTTATAATTATGGGATTAAGGAATATAAAATGGGAAATGATTTTGATGGAATAACTATTCGATCTAAAGAAGTACTACAAAGGGCACATTTAGATGGGTGGCCAATAAAAGAAGAAAATGGAATATTTGTTTTACAAGCACCTGGTGGTTACAAATACTATATTATAGATGAACCACAACCCCAAAATAAAGGTATTAATATTAAAATGTATTAAAATATTAATAATTTTAACAAGTAAAAATATATTTTTCCATTATATTTACAGATCCTGTTGAAAAAGTAACTTTATCTAGTTCAAATCTTCAAAAAACTATTGCTTATTGGAAAAATATTTTAGAATTAAAAATATTTAATCAAACTGAGAAAAGTGTATTATTAGGATATGATAAAGATCAAGCAAAAATTGAATTTATAGATATTGGTAATTTATGATATTATTACATATTTTAATAAATTCATAATAATAAAACATACAATTTCATTTAATTAGGTACTGAAATTAATCATGCTGCAGCTTATGGACGCATAGCATTTTCAATTCCTTATGCAGAACAACCAGAAATTCAAAAGAAAATTAAAGATAATGGATATAAAATATTAACTGATTTAATCACTTTAGATACTCCAGGAAAAACTTCTGTCAGAGTAATTATTCTTGCTGACCCAGTAAGTACAATTATTATAATACTCTGCTTTTTCAAATATAAATTATTAATGAAATATTAATAATAATTATAAATATTTTTAGGATGGTCATGAAATTTGCTTTGTAGATGATGAAGCATTCCGACAATTATCAGTTCCAGATTATGCTAGTGAAGCAATTTTAAATAGATATATTGCAAAAGAAAAATAAAAAAATGTTATATTTTTTAAAAAATATCTTTTTTGAAGCATTATTTCAGTATTTTTATTAAATTTGAAAGGCTGTGCTAATACTATTTTATTATTTTAAAAAAAACACTATGTAATTATTAATAATAATAAAAAATTAATATATCGGCATGAATTTTAAATACTTATTCATACTTTATTATTAAAGTATTATTAATGTATTATTATATATTATTACTATTATTATATCATTGTTATTAATTATATGAACAAATTTATAAAATGTATATTTTATAATATTTTTATAAAGAATATTCTGGTGAAGGTTATTAAGAATAAATAAAAATTTATTAAGAAATGTGTTTATTATTAAAGATATCTATCTATGGGTCATTGGCAATGATCTTTATAATATGATTTAAATATATTGCAAAATATAATGCATTTAGTATGATAAAAGGTTTGATAATATATATATATAATATAAGCATTTATTTCTTAAATACTTTGAAAATATTAATATATAATTTATAATATTTTTATAATATTATATGCAGTGTTTATAGTAATAATGAAATTTATAAAAACATTTTTCTTTATATTTATTTGTGTTATCTTAATTAGTAAGTATAGTTTATTTTGTTATATAATATTTTTATTAATGATTTTGTTATTTACTTTTAGATAATATAATAACTTTTAGATAATATAATATTTTTATTAATGATTTTGTTATTTACTTTAGATAATATTAATACAAAAATTAATATTGGAAGAGGTTTTGGTAAAAGCATAAAATCAAATGGAAAATCTGGAAGTAGAAAATCATATGGATTTTCAAAGGATACATCAAATAGAGTAAATCCTAATCATAATATTGGTGAATATCAATCATTTTTAAAAGGATTTTCTATATCTACATCTCATAGAAAACTTCCCTGTTTTAATTTGCTATCTATTTTATATCTATATATTATTTATTATATTTAGCTAATTTTAAATATATTATTAAATATTTATTTACATACACATTAATATTGTTTATAATTTTAAAACTATTTATAGCTCAAGCAAATAAAAATATTAATACAGAGTTCTTAAATGCTGAAAGTAGAGGAGCTACACAATTAAGTAAGTGTTATTTTGTTCATTTTATGATATATTAATTATAAAATACAAATTATATGAAATTTTTTTTAATTAATTCGAAGAAAGTCTTTTCAATCATCATATTCTACAAAACCTATTTTAGTTTTACAAAATGGAAGAAAACAAAAAAATGAAAACAAACAAACTTCATCTTTTTATCCATCTGCACCACAACAAGATCATACTATGAAATCTGCTACAGCACAAAATTATGGTATAAATAATATAAACATATTCAATGCTATTGTTATAAAAATATATATATTGTAGGTCAAATAACATCACATAAAAAAAATTTTTCCTGGAGCAATCCCTATTTAGGAAATAATAGACAAACTACAGTTCAAACACATATAATTAATAAGCCACCTATATCGAATCAATCAATTATACCAAGTTCTCGACCACCTCCAATTGGATTCAAAGATTATGTTTTTCCACAGAATCATATAACTTCGGCTAATACTCAATCTATACATATGAAAAATTATCCTCCTTATCCTACACATCATATGCCTTTAAATAACACATGGCCAAATTCAGTTTCTTCTCCAATTTACCAAACAAGTTCAATGCCATTAAGAAATCCTTATTCTGTACATTCTTCTGAAGGTATTTATAATACACATGGACAACCTTTTTATCCAACACATATATTAGCACAACCTGCAGTACAATCATTTGTACCTGGTCAAACTATTTTAATGGAACCAAGGCAACAAAATTCTGATTTTGGTCAAATGATCAAAGAAGCTCTTGTATTTTCAACTATTAATGCAGGTGTCAATAGAATATTAAATCCTCATACTAACTATGTGGAAAATAGACCTGATTCTACTTCAGCAACTACAACTCATATTACTTATAACAATCAATATTTTAATACTGCACTTGGAGTTAATGATGAGAAAATGAATTCCACAAATGTATTACAAGGATTTCCTAATAATTCAAATGGCATATTTACTTCTAATATAGAAGAAGGTAAGTTTCTTTATCAGGAAAGTTTCTTTATCATATTCTATATGTATCAAATATTATACATTCCTATTAATATATTTTGTTCAAATTCAGTTAGAATCAAAACACCCATTATTGAATCTCATATAAATGAGAATATAAATACTTCTATAATTGTGTCAAGTAATCAAAAGAATCTATCTAATAATTCTATAAGCATAAATAACAAATTTTTTTATAAAATTTCGGATGATGAACTTTTTAAAATATCAGAAGAACTATTTGCAAAAAGTTCGCACAATATATATAAATTTATAAAACTGAATCTACAAACTCAAGTTACATCTCTTAACATAACAGATGAAGCTAAAGAATCGTATGTTCTAATCATTTACATTTTTTTACTTCTAACTGATTTCAATTGTTTTTAATTTTTATTAATTTTTTCTTCTAGATTGTTTGAAATAGAATCAAATTTGTTAGATTATCCATCAATTTATGTAACACGATCTCTATACGATAGCTACGAATATGATTTTCGTAAAAAATTGAATCGTACCTTGGAAACGAGAAAACAAGAAAATATTTTGATTGATGTATTTTTAAATACAAACGAGATGACAATAGCTATGCAATGGTTAGCTGATCATGGATTCATTGATCCAGATGATTTTGAAAGAAAAGATGTACTTCGTCGAATTTGGTTTACTATATTCAGCGGAAGTACATGCGGATTTGAACGTGTGTTTGCATCTGAAAATTATGGTACAACCGTTATTGGTATACAAGATTGGATTTATTTCGATTATCTAGAATCTTTGAAACGTATAAATTATATGGGTTATGTAGATAAATTAGATTTTGGAAATGTAAGTTATTTAATATAAATTATAAAATAATAATAAAATATTAAAGAATCATATTCATTGTAATAATATCATATTAATAATTTAATATATTTATTTTTTTAGATTGCTTCGTTAGTAAAATTAAATTTTCAAATAGATGGAATTGTTAGATCAAATGTAACAATATTTGTGGGTACTTTACCTGAGTTGGAAATGGCTTTGTACACGATATGCTTTTATGCAAGATCAAATAATCTTTGTCCAGTTTCTTTTAATGGTACAAAGTTTAACATTTATACTCATTCATTTACATATTTCGGAAATGAAATTATAGATCTTGGTCTTCCAATTTTTTAATATGATAATATATATGCAGTAGTTGTATTTAGAATTTGATATAATGTATAGTATATATATATGTATATATGTATGTATAATTTCATTTAATACGTAATAAAAATTAAATTATTAAAAAAATAATGTTTTATAATATTAATTTATTATTAATATTCATATTAATAATTATATTAAGAGTAATTTATTATTATAATAAAAAATTAAATAATATATTTTGTTTCCTTCTGAAATTTTTTAAATTAATTGCTTGAATTAATATTTAATTTTTTTTTCATGGTATGACTTCAGAGAACTAAGATTTAATTTTTCCTGAAAAATATAATTATAATATAAAAATTTGTTTATTGAAAAAGATATTTTTAAATAATTTGAAAAAAGTTATATTGTATATTTGTAAACAATATTCAAATAATCAAAAATCAGAAGAAACACATAATTATATTTGGGTTTATTATTAAATTATTCTATTATATTTTTATTATTTATTGTAAATTTATCAAATAATAATGAGAAAAAATAGTGAGAAAAAACCTACAATGTATAATTCATGCTGTCAATTCTGAACTACTTTCAACGTGGGTAATATGCATCAATTTGTGGGAAGTCTTTTAGTAACGGATTAACCATCAAGTAGTGCGTGTCGGACAATTTACAGAAAGATTTTTTTTGAATTATAAAAAAAAATAGAAAAAACTAGATAACAGAAATATGAACATCAAGTTAATTCTAATTTGTACGATTTTTGTGTTGTTTGTTTTTGGTAAGCAAGTCTTTTTTTGTAAATTGTTTAATCATTTGAAATAGTAAAAAATTTTTTTTGACTGAACAGTTTAATTGTAGCGATGAATTTATTGGATTTTATTATGATAATTATGAAAAATATTCCATGAATTATAACATTAAAAAATATTTATGAGATATTTTTGAGGAATATTCTTTGAGAATAAATTTGACGAAAGTTTTTTAAAATAGAAATAATCAGAAATTCAAATTTCTAAATAATTTAAGAGAAATAATCAAATTCTGGAAAAGAAAAAAAAATTGCATTTATTCAAAAACAAATCATTCTATGATTCATTTAGTTATACATAAAATTGCATCATAAAATTTCAACCGAACAGATCACAATAAATTCATCCAGGAAATCAGTTTTATTCGAGCATATGCGAATATTATTCACTTGTCAGCATTTGATAAGTGTGTAAGTAAAGAAGTAAAAAAAAAGAAGTAGTTCTTCTAGAAAGTAATCATACAGTGGTTGAGTCACTCCAATGAATCTTAAATAATTCCATGAAACAAATATGGTTTCGTAGGCATAATTAAAAAACTAACGAGTATTTAAAATTAGGGAAAATCCTTGATATAACAAGATTTCTCTAAGTGATACCATTTCGATAATAGGTTTTAATCTAACAATTTTATTTATTATTCCAAAGTTTTTTCTAATATCAAATATAATAATATATTAAAACATAAAAAATCCTAAAAATATATTCTTATTTTTATTAAAATGATTTACAAACAATTATATTAATGTTTTAAACATTTTATTTTTTATTCTACTATTAAATAGATTTAATGAAAATAATCAAGTTGACGTGTTAACGATATATCATTATTTTATTTAGCAAATTGTTAAATTGTTAGAGGCTGCATCAAATAATCTATCATGGAATGATAGAGACATTCAATTGTGGGTGGAATATTATGAATCGTATAATATACGTGAGCACTTATATTAATAAAATTGATATTATTCCACTCAAACTCTTTGACTCGATATATTCCATTTAACCAATAATAACTTCTACGTATAATGCTTTAAATTTTGATGAATGGATTACATTTTGTTCATATAGGATAATTATTTGAATACGTAATATCCGTCAAAATTTTATTCAGTGATCTCATTCGTTTCACGCTTCGTTAATTAAGTAACTAGTAATTTGTATATAATGTATACAAGTTGTATACGATTTTTAGAAAAGTTTGTAAATTGTCAAAAAATATTATATTTAATCACAATGATTTTTGTCATGCATAGTTGATATTGGAAATGGAAAATCGAGTAAACGAAGAACCGGAAGTAGTGGATGGGGATCTGTATTTCGTTCAAGATCAACACCTCGTCCTCGTATATCCCAAACATCAAATCAAGGTAATTTTTCATTTTATATTACTTAATTAAATATGTAAAATGTTGTATCTTTATTTATCGTTTCATATTGAAATGTATATATAAAATTTGTATTTTTTATTTTTTAATAAAATCATTATTTCTCAATAATATGTGATTATAATTTCTCAATATATGTGTAATTACCGATTAATTTATGCAGATCGATTAATTTTTTTTTACAATTGATGATTAATTAATTGAAACTAAGAATTAGATTTATCAATTATTTAATAATTATATAATAACTTTTTTTATATATATATAGGAAGTTCAAATCCAAATAAAATAGGATGGAATATACCAGATAAGAAACCAACTGGAACTAATACTGCTCCTAAACCATCTGCTCCTATATCCGAACAAAGTGCTAAAACTAGTGCAACGAATGTACAATCTGGTTATAATCCCTCAGGTATTCAATATTTTTTTTTAATAGATGAATTATAACCATAACATAAGACATTATTTATAGACTATAAATATTTAATAAATAATAAAAAATTAATAGATTTAATAATAATTTTTAGGTGGATATCCTCGTCAATCAGCAAGTAATCCTTACTACACAAATCCTAATCAACCCTATAATCCATCAATTGGACAAAGTTATAATCCTTCACTTGGTCAAGGATACAACCCTTCTTTAGGTAATAATCCATTAGGTGGTTATAGTAATCCTGGAATAGGAGGACATATACCTTATGGAGCACAACCATCTTATGGTGGATATAATCCAGGACACTCATATAATTCACCATTGGGACTATCCAATCCATCTATGGGTCAGATACCTCAGCAAGCAATCTTTGTACAGCAAGCACAGAGACCTGGTATTGGACAACTTGCAAAAGAAGCATTTGTTTTTGCTGGTGTAAGCGCAGGAGTAAATGCAGCTGTTAATAGATTACTACCAGGAGGAATATATGGCACTAGAGGCACTGGAGGGGGTTCTCATACTGAAATTACTTATAATAATTATTATAATAATGGGACTGCACCTGTCCCAATTTCAAATGCTGAACAATCAGTAGTTAATGCTGCATCTGTAGCTCAATCAACAACTACATCAACTGTTCAATCTCAATCAACTCAAACAGCCCAATCTGCTGTTGAAGCATCACAAACTTCCCAAATTAATGCAGGTACTAACAATGCATCACCAACTAACACAAATTCTCAAGAATCGGCGCAAAATAATCCCAATCCATTGGGATTTATCACTTCCAATGATGACATTAAAAAACTAACAGAAAGTCTATTTGAAAAAGAAAAGAATAATGCTTTTAAATATATAACAATAAATTTGCAAGGTCAGAAGAAAGATGATAGTACCAGCGACGATGCTGCTGAACCGTAAGTATTATATTTATGAATGTTGTTGTAATATTGAATTTATGAATGTTATGAAATTATGAAATTTATGAAATTAAAAAATAAATTACGCGAATTCTAAGTTTTATATATTTACGAATTTTTATGTTTAATGTATTTTAGATTGCTAAATGTGAAAGATGAAGCTTATGAAATTCCAACAATAAAAGCCATAATAATGTTACATAATAATTATGAATTGGATGTAAAAGTAAAAGAGGTGGTTACGTCGGAAGAGCGTAAAGAAGAATCTGAACTTCTTGATAAAATTCTTGAAACAGACGTGATAAAAACAACTATGAAATTTTTGGTTGATAAAGGATACATTCAAGATGATGAATTCGAGTTTAAGGACACTATGAAACGCATATGGTTTTCTCAATTTAAACGAATCGACGGAGATGCATCAAGTTCTGGTTTTGAAACAGTGTTCTTAGCTGAACAATTTGATTCAGATATAATTGGATTACATAATTGGATCTATTATGCGAAACAAGAAACAGAGAAGAAGCTCAATTATCTTGGATATATCAAAGAAGTTAAATTGGGTGACGTAAGTAACAAAGAATAATGACTAATAATTAAAATTGCATATATTTCTAATGTTTGCTGTTATATTTCTTATGTTCTATAGAAAGCCGCAGTTTTAAAAATACGTTCATCATTAAATGGAATAGTACAACCTATTACAACTCTCTTTGTTGGTACATCACCAGAATTGGAATTTGCTTTGTATACAATTTGTTTTTTTACTCGACCGAATAACGTTTGTCCAATTTCTTTAGGAGGAATTGAATTTGTAATTTTTGTAAGCAGAGTCAATTACTTTGGAAAAGATATTTTAATTTCGGGATATCCTGATATTTAATTTGATTGAAAAATATTTATAACATATGTTATAAAATTTAAATTTTATAACAATGTTATAAAATTTATGACAAAAATTTTATAACATTTTATAACATTTAATAGATTTTATGTGATTACTTTTAGAACTTGATTAATATGTTATAACATTGATTTGTTGAATGTTATATATATATATATATATATATATATATATATATATATATATAA